AAAGATGAGGCTTTCTACTCCCGTAAAGATTTACACCCTCGGAAACCCTATACATGGTCGCTATGGGTCGGAACCGACTCGATGGCACATAACAACAACAACAATGTGTATAGTCATCTTTTTATGTTTAAAAAGGTATTTGCAATTAAAATGTCTTTGGTCTTACAAAATTCTATCATGCAATCTCCAGCATCATAGTCTCCAGGGCCATAGTCTCCAACTACTGATCTTTCCTCTTTGTTTCTAATGTTTGCATTGTAGTTACCAGTAATTATCAATACATCTTGATTGCATGTGTGAGCAATTTCAGACTGAAGATATTTGGTAGAATTCTTCAATTTCATCATCACTGGTTTTAGTGGTTGCCATGTAAATTTGAATAATAATGATATTAACTGATCTTCCTTATAGGTGTATGGCTATTTTTCTATCATAGACAGTGTTGTACTTTAAGACTGATCTTGATATGTTCTTTTTGATGATGAATGAGACTCCATTCCTTTTCAATTTGTCATTCTTGGCATAGGAAACCATGTGATTTATGTTGTTTAAAAAAGATGTTTGCAATAATAAATCATTGGTCTTGCAAATTTCTATCATGTGATCTCCAGCATCGTTTCTATCACCAAGGTCAGGTTTTCCAACTACTGATCCTTCCTTTTCTTTTCAACCTTTGCATTCTCATTGCCAATTATTATCAATACATCTTGATTATATGTTTCATCAATTTCAGACTGAAGAAGTTGGTAGAATTTTTCAATTTCATCATCACTAGCTTTAGTGTTTTGGATGTAAATTTGAATAATAGTTGTATTAACTGGTCTTCTTTGTATGCATATGGATATTATCATATCATAGACAGTGTTGGTCATGATTGATCTTGATATGTTCTTTTTGATGATGAATACGATGTCATTCCTCTTCAATTTGTCATTCCTGGCAGAGGAAACTGTATGATTTTCAGATTCAAAATGGCCAGTACCAGCCCATTTCAGCTCACTAATGCTTAGGACATCAATGTTTATGCATTCCATCACATTTTTGACAACTTCCAATTTTTCTGAATTCCTATTTCATACATTTCATGTTTTGATTATTAATGGATGTTTAAAGCTTTTTCCTCTTCATTTTGAGTTGTACCCCATCGGCAAATGAAGGTCCTGAATGCTTTACTCCACTCATGTCATTAAAGTCAACTCCACTTTGAGGAAGTAACTTTTCCCCAATTGCATTTTGAGCGCCTTCCAACCTGAGGGGCTCATCATCTGGCACTATATCTGACAATATTCTGGTACTCTTCATCATGTTTCAATATTTAATAATCTGGTACTGACAGTGTTCCACTGCTGTTCATAAGGTTTTAGTGACTAAATATTCAGAAGGAGTCTGTTTGTACTCCTTTGTAGTCTGCCTTCATCGAATAGCTCAGGTGAAACCTGTCCACCATGGGTGATCCTGCTGGTATTTAAAATACCTGTGGCATAGCTTCCAGAATCACAGCAACACACAAGCCACCACAGTACGACAAATTGACAGATGAGGCGTTGTTAGGTGACAGATGAGATGTTGTTTTTAGGTGCTGTCAAATCAGTTCCAACTCATAGCAACCTTATTTAAGATTAGGTGCTTTAGAAATTTTTCTTCTTTATGCCTCTGTGTATGTGACACATTTTCAACAATACGGTGATATCATCTTAAAAATTAGAAAAAGTTACAATTATTGAGTCTAGATTTAAACACAATAATACATTCAATAGTTATTTCTACGTATTTGTATTAGTAACAAAGAAAAAGTATCCAAGAGTTTTTAACTGAAATAATTTTGATGGAAATTCTCAAATTGTTAGTCTCATATGCTTTTGAAAATGTAGGCTCTACTAATAGATACTAAGAAGTCCTAGACACACAGTAGTTAACCAATGGTGAGTGATCCGAACCCATGAGTAGCTTCTGTAAAGACTGTTGTCGTTGTTGCTAAGTACTGTGGAGTTGGTTCTGACTCATAGTGACCCTGCACAGGGTTTCCGAGGCTGTAAACCTTTCCGGAAGCAATCTTTCTCCCATAGAACAGCTGGTAGTTCTGAACTGCCAACCTTGAGGTTAGCAGCTGGATTTGTAACTACTACGCTACCAGAGCTCCTTTCTGTAAGACTGACAGCCTTGAAAAACCCTATGGTGCAGTACTACTCTGACCTACAGGATCTCTGTGAGTTAGAATTGACTCAATGGCAATGCGTATTAATAGATCATAACTACAGGCACTGTAAGATAAGCACAGGACTGCTAACGGCTTGGTAGGTGGTTCATATCAGTTATTCTTCAGAAGAAAGAAGAGGCATTCTTTTCCCAGAAATCCTCATAGTCTAAGAAACTCTATAAAGAGCTGTTGCTATGAGTCAGAATGAACTTGATGATAGTTGGTTTAGTTTGTTTTTTATGAACATTATTAAGGCATATTAAGGAAAGAAAGAAGAGATGTCAGAAGAGATTCTAAAACTTGCTCTCCAGCATAGAGATGATAATGCATATTGAAGAAATGAAAAAGTCAAAGAACTGAGTAGAAAATTTCCAAGCGCAGCTTCAGAAGACAAAGTCAAGTATTATAATGAAATGTACAAAGGCCTGGAGTTAGAAAACCAAAAGGTAAGAACATGCTTAGCATTTCTCAAGCTGAAAGAACTAAAGAAAAAAAAAAAAAATCAAGCTGCAACTTGCTATATTGAAGGATTCTATGGGCAAAATATTGAATGATGCAGAAAGTATCAGAAGAGCCACTGTACCAAAAAGAAGTGGTCAATAGTTAACCATTTCAAGAGGAGGTAGATAATCAAGAACCAGTGGTACTGAAGGAAGAAGTCCAAGATGCACTGAGGGTATTGGCCAAAACACAGGCTCCTGGGATTGACAGAAAACAAATTGAAATCTTTCAACAAACTGATACAGCATTGGAGGTACTCATTCATTTTTCCAAGAAATTTGGAGGACAACTAGCTAGTCAACCATTTGGGAAACATACATATTTGTGCCTATTTCAAAATGAGGTGACCTAACAGAATATCATTAATATTGCTTCCAAATAAAAGTTTGTTGCAGATAATTAAAAAAAAAAAAAAAAAGCTGCCACAGTACATTGACAGGGAACTGCTAGAAAATCAAGCCAGATTTAGGAGAGGATATGGAATGAAGGATATCCTTGCTGAAACCAGATGGATCTTGGCTGAATGCAAAGCATAGCAGAAAGATATTTACTTGGGTTTTATTGACTATGCAAAGGCTTTTGACTGTGTGGCTCATGACAAGCTATGGATTACATTGAGAGAATGGATATTCTAGAACACTTCATTGTTCTCATGAGAAACCTGTTCCTACATCAGGAGGCAGTTGTTAGAACAGAACAAAGGAATACCGAATGGTTTAAAATCAGGATTGTATCCTTTCACCATACTTATTCAATCTCTATATTGAGAAATAATCAGAAGAGCTGGATTATACGAAGAAGAGCGTGGATTGGAGGAAGACTCATTAACAACCTGAGATATGCAGCGGATACAATTTTGCTTGACGGAAGCAAAGAGGACTTAAAATATTTACTGGTGAAGATAAAAAACCATAGCTTTCAGTATGAATAGCACCTCAATATAAAGAAAACCCAAATCCTCACAATTGGACCAATAAATGGCATCATGATAAATGGACAAAACGTTGAAGTTGTCAAAGACTTCATTTTGCTTGGATCCATAATCAACACTCATGAAAACAGTAGTCAAGGAATCAAGTGACATAATGCATTAGACAAATCTGCTGCAAAAGAGCTCTTTAAAATATTGGAGAGCAAAGATGTCAGTTTGAGGGCCAAGGTGCTCCTAATTCAAGTGATGGTATTTTATTCTCAAATGCATGTGAAAGTCGGAGACTTGATGCATTTGAGTTGGAGGAGTATGTTGAGAAGACGCTGGACTGCCAGAACAATAAACAAATCTGTTTTGGAAGAATTCCACCAAAATCCTCCTTAGAAGCCAGGATGGTGACTGTCTGTCATACTTCTGAAACGCTATCAGGAGAGATCAGTCCCTGGAGAAGGATAAATGGAGGGTCAGGAAAAAGGAAGAAGACTCCCAACAAGATGAACTGGTGCAGTGGCAGCAGCAATGAGCTCAAATGTAATAATAATTGTGAGGATTGCACAGTACCAGGCAGTGTTTTGTTCTGTTGTGCACAGGTGCACTATGAGTTGGAACCAACATGAAGGCACCTAACAACAACATCAAGGCATATTTCTTTAATAGATATTTCCTTTAATTCTAATATTTCATTACTCTGGTTTCTGCTAGGATCAGAAAGTCACATTGTTATATCATTCCCAACACATTGTAAGACTTTTATATTGCTGAGTAGTAGATCTGCCAAGAAAAAAAAGTATAAAATGCATGAAGGAACAAAGGAAGAAAACATTTGATAATTTAAACATGTCACATTTCAAATAAAAAAAAATAATCTGAAAAGGATAGCTTGTAAAAATGGAGGTAAAAAAATGATAAAAGTGAATAATTCAGAGAGCTTACACTATCAGCTGATAGCTGTTGTTCTGGCTTCAGTAGAAGAACACTTTTATCTATAGCCCGCAAGGCACAGAGTGAATCCTTGGCTGCCTGAAGATGGAGATTAACAGCGGATCCAGGCAGGCTCTTCTCCTTTGAGAACTTTATGTTAACCTGAAGTGCAGAAAAAAAAGGAATGGATGTAAAGATGACTTTCTATGAAGATAATTGGAATATATTCAATCATTTCCAAATATGTATAAATTTTTGTGCCTATCTCTCTCCTGCCTGGTTTAAAATCTTCAGCTATTCTAGCAGAGATGGCTTTTCACAAACCTCCTATGTTCTCAGGGTTGGCATTGCTGCCAAAGGTTATTCATTATGCTTGGGGATTCTCTGTTCCCTAATTATTTAACTACATCAACACTGATTGAAAGATTACAATGTAAAGGTTAATATACTGGTCACACTCAACAGAGCCAATAGTTAGCAAAATGTTCACCCCTCTCACTGGGAACAGGTCATAAATAAAAGTATCACCTTGTTTTTAAAGCATTTTTCAACCTGGAATCTGACACTGTCGGCCACAATTTCTCCACTGGGGTGAAGGGTGTAGACGAACACGATGGCCACAGGAGCCAGATCAGCACTGACACTGATAGGGAACGAGAAGTTTCCATTCCAGGCTATGTAAAAAAGAAATGTCATCAACTGATATGATGTCCCAAAGTTCCTGAATCACTGGACATACTTAGGAAAAGAAAATGATATGTAGATAAAAAGAAGAAACTGGTCATTGTTTTAAAGACAAATGAATAATGGGAACTATATATACTATTTGTCATAACATTTAAACAATGACAATATTTGAGTCTTGAACATCATTTGTCTACAATGTACTTGATGACTTGGAAAAAATAGAAATAGGTGAAAATCTCCTTCATCAGAATATTTAGTAGCTTACCCAAGGCCATGCTAACTAGTGTCCTCCATTCACAAATCAAAATATTAAACGCTCTTTTGAACCTCTTGACTCTATCACTATAACATTCCCATGAAAAGAAAAACAAAACAAAACTCTATAGTGGTAGAGTTGAGGTTCAAATGAATGGCTCATACACACCATTGTTTCTGATTTCCTTTTGTCCATTGAGGAGGATCGTTCCTTTTACCATCATCTATATAAAATAAAGAAAACACAATATGTGATGTTATGTCTAATGATATATCTAATGATAAGATAGGGGAGTTTGAATGATCAAATATTAAAAATGGATTTTGCAAAATTTGGAAGAGAATAGAATCAGCAAGTACAGTTTATTGACAGCCTACTATGTGCTGGATTGAGGCATTGATGGGTCAGTAATAAAATGTCAACTTTCATGTAGGAGAGTAGGGAATAATTTTTTTGTGCAGTTACTAACCATCTGTTAATGGTGGCTTGTGTAATATTATGATACTGAACAAGTTCATTAATAAGTAGACTCTGAATAGCAATATTTTCAACTCTAGGGTAATTGAAATTGCCTTCGATTATTTTTGTTTATTTGTTTTTAATGGATCTAGTATAAGAGACTTCAAAATATCTTGGAAAAACTATAGTTCCATTTTTTCCATGAATTCAATTTTTTCCATGAATTTTTGAAGCCCCCTCATAGTATTCATTTTTGAAGCCCCTGAATAGTATTCATCAGCAAGTTAGAAGGCTGAGTTCACTCAGATTGATGTGGTAGAGTGGAAGTGCCACGGTAGAAACTGAACTATGTCTACCTATCCAAATCGATTTGGAGATGCCACCTACTGAGACTCACCAAATAGAAGAAGTTTACATTTGAAGTTTTTGGATATGCTTCATTGTTTAGGGAATAGTGCACAGTAACAGTCTTCTGTTGGTTGCACTTAAGTGGTGTTCGTTCTGGAACAATCTTCAGGAAGCTGTTGGTTCGGGAGTAAAAGCGTGACACAGATGCATAAGCTTCTCTATAGTCAGGCATCAACCAGCTGGAACCATAGCAGCTCTTAGGTTGAATGTATGTTGCCTGAAAGGAAAACAAAGGACCTTAAGAGTCAGAGCTATCTTTCAAAGACATTAACTATCACTTAAACCCTCAAAGCCTCAGGATTCTTGATTTGTGTTTGATGTCTTTGTTTGAAGTTATAGCTTTTAGGTTTAAATACAAGGTAAGCAAAAATGGATTGTTATGAAATCATCATTGCTGTTGTTGCTAATTGCTGTCCAGCTGGCCCCAACTCATAGCCACCTTGTATAGGGTTTCCAAGGAGCAGCTGGTGAGTTTGAAACACCAACTTTGTGATTAGCTTGTTGTTGTTAAGTGCCGATGAGTTGGCTCTGACCTACAGTGACCCTGTGTAGGGTTTCCGAGGAGCATCTGGTAAGTTTGAACTGCTGATCTTGTGGTTCAAACTTTTGCAGTCCACAGCAGTCCAATGCATATCCTACAGCACCACATCAGGAGTCCATGAAATCATAGACACTTTTAGTATAGACATATACGCCAGCTAGTTGTATAGACTTCAAAAGGCAGCATTTCCATCTCTACCACTTCCTTCTGGAGTCCTACTATGGCACTTTAGGATAAGCACTGGACTGTTAACCCCATAGTTGGCTGCTCCAACCCACCAGCCGCTCCTTGGAAACAATATACAGGGTCACTAAGGGTTGGAATCGACTTGATGGCACTTAACAACAACAACAATTCCCTGTGGCAGTGCAGTGACTCTGTAGGACAAGCACTGGACTGAGAACCACAAGGTAAACATTGTGAACCCACCAATATGAGGCTTTCTGTTCCCACAAAAGAATTACAGTCTGAGAAATCCTATACTAGGTCAATATGAATTGGAACCAACTCCACAGCACCTAACAGTAACAACAAGAACACTTCCCTAAAGAATTCGGTGCTCTTTGATTTATACCACATAAAATAGCAGTTTGGGCATTCTTGAGGAACTCAAAATCATGTTCCTTTTCGATGTTATTTGAGTTTGGAGAACAAAACAGTCTGAAAGAATCAGGACTGCAGGGTGGATGTGATAAGGTTTTCCATAAGGCAGTCCTTGCTACCCTTAAACAACAAGCAGGTGCAATGTAGTGATGAAAAAAAAAAAAATCCTTGACAAAACTTTTTCCTTTTTCTCACCAATACAGTTTTCAATTTTCTTCAAATGTCTTCATAATAAACTCCTGGGATTGTCTTGTGTCCTTTGAGAAAATTTATCAAGACAACGTCTTTGGAATCCCCAAGAAACAGACCCCATAGACTTCTGAGATGACTTCTGTGTCTTGAATCTTGAATTTAATTGGACTTCATATCATGATGCCTTTAGAAGCCAGGCACTATTTTGACTGGACTTTATTATTTTTTTTAAAGGCATCCTAACAAAAGGAAATGTTTAATGTTCAACTGTTTCAAGAAGTAGCAAATGATCAAGAGCCAATGATACTGAAGGAGGAAGTCCAAGGTGCACTGAAGGAATTGGCAAAGAACAAGGCACCAGGAATTGATGGAATAAAAATG